TCTGTGTGTGTGTGTGTGTGTGCGCGCACATATGCACTGGCTCCCTTGGGATATAACAGGCGCCTGCCCTGCAGCTCTGAGCAGACCGTGTCTGCATTGCGCTTGGACAATGAGCCCAAGCTGTGGACTCTACCTTCCTGTGCTCTGCTGTTTCAGCACCTTCCTGTCTTGAAGCGGTTCAGCTGCAGATAAATACCTGCAAGGAAAGAAACTGTCTCTTTCCCCCTCGTCGCTTCCTCCTCCCTTTAAATCCTGTCTCTCCAGTCGTTCTTGAGCAGGCTGCCTCCCTGCTACTTGCCCTCCACGGGAGAGCTGCCAGCCCTCCGGCAGGGATGGGTGAGGCCCAGCTGTCGGGCTGAGGTGCCGATGCTGCTGCCGCTGCTGACAGTCACATCTGCTGCAACTTTCAAGCAGTTACTTCGTACCTCCTTCCAAAAGATGTTCCTGCTCTTCACGAGATGCCACGGGCTGTGCTGGAATGACTGACTGCACTTTGTGAGTGCCACGGCGCCATGTCCTAGCAGCAGCAGAGAGCGATCGGCCATTGCGGGCAGCGACAGCTGAACTCAGACCTGGGACCTCCTCCACCGCAGCCTCTCACCTGAGGCAGGAAAGGACAGTCCTCTCAGGTAGGTGCAGGGGAACCTGCAAGGCCGCACGGGAGGGGAAGGGAAGAGAAGGCTGCTCTGCACCCAGAGCAGTATGACTGAGCAGGGAGAAGATGGGTAGGGAGGGCTGCCAAAGCTGCTTACGGGTTCTGGAGCTGCACAGTTCCCTGTTGCTCTGAGGCATTTGAGGACCTGACAAAGCTGGCATTGCACCTTGGCCACCGCAAGCTTGCAGAGAGACACGAGGGATGCAGAGTGTTCCTTTGACGAGTAACTGGGAAGTCAGAATAGACAAAAGGAGAAGGGTGGCTCGTCCCTAAGGCCAGGAAACCAACTGAACTGAGCCTCCAAGACAGGCTTCTCCAAGTGTTTGGCTGCTAGATGGCAAGAAATCAAGACAGGTGGGTAGGAGCTGCTCAGCTGCCTATGAGTCAGTGCAGAGGTGCACCCTTGGCAGGGTGCGCAGAGCTGCTCGCACCCTTCTCCGGGACTGCGCTTAAGCACACAAGGTGCTGACCTCTGAAGCTCTCTTGACTCGAAACCAGAGCTTGGGGCTCGGTGCTGTGCTGACTAATCTGAGTCTTGCAAGCCTGGCGAGGCTCGTGCAGCTCCGCTGTGCGGATAGGCCTGTCGGCAGCTGGAGGCCAGGGAAATGTGGTGCCGACTCTGGGAAAGGAGCGAGTTGAGGCGACTGGGAAACGAGCTGTGTGCTTGCAGCTGCTGAATCTTGCTGCAGTGGTGATACTGCTCCATATGCTCTGCTGGGGCCCTGCGGCTCAGCGTTCCCCCCAGTCCCTGGTTTTGTCCTTTGGCCTCCCTCCGATGCGGAGTCAGGACTTTGCTGGAGCTGGAGCTGTCAGAAGAGCTTGTTCATGACTGGAGCACGCTTTGTGTCGTCTCTGGGTGACCGCAGAGCTGGGTGGCGTGGGGAATTGTTAGTGGCAGAAGGCTGCAGGAGCTGTCTCAGGTGAAATGCACTCTCTGTTTCACACGTCCTGCCACAGCTTCCTGTGGGACTCACCATTACCTGGTCCTGAAAACATGGGCCCTGGCCAAGCCAGTAAGGTATGTCAAGAGCCACCTCGGCTCAGAACAAGCAAGATCTTGCAGGCAACCCTACAATACAGGCAGTGAAGTGCACGAGTAGCTGTTAGTGCTGGGAGCCTGGGGCGAGGCCTTTTTTCTTGATGAGGAAAACGAAACCGAGTTTGAGTCACCATGGAGGGGATGTCAGAAGACGTGGGAGGGCGCGGGGAGAGCCCCTTGCACGCAGCACGGCCAGCGCGCGCTCATTCATGCGTTCCCTGGCAGGCACTGCTCACGCCTCGCTGCCTGCCACACCACGTGGCGACGGTGTGTGGCAGGATGCTCTGCCGAACCGCCCCTCTGGCTTCTCCCCTTGGGCGGCTCAGTTGTGCCCCAGGGAACGTGGGGAGCGTGAGACGGTTGTGGGAGGCGTAGCGGGCCCCGCTCCTCGGGGGCTCAGGGCTTCCTCTGGACTGTCCGCTCCAGTGCCGTGCATGCCCAGCGTGGGCCTGGCTCACGTGGGCTACGTTAGCTCTGCACTGCAGTGACGGGCACCCTCAAAGCCTCCCCGCTCCCCGCAGGGGCTGCATCCGAGCCCCATCCCTCCCCATCTCCCTTCCTGCAGGGAGCAGAGCCTTCCCGCCTCGCTCAGCCGCATTGCGCGAGGTCTGGGGCTGACACAAGCTCTGCGAGGGAGTCGGGCCGTGTGCGTGAGGGCCACCGCGGGCCTGGCAGCTCGAGTGTCCGCTGTGACCTAGGTGGCCCAAGGCATGTGATGTGATTAAAGCCGCGGGGAGGAGGCACAGAGGGTTTTGCTAAGTGGAAAGCTGCTTCCTGTGTGGTTAAAGGAGAGCTCCCCTTGCTTTCATGTTGCCTCCCTGCAGCAGACTGGCTGCAGCCCCTACGGCCTAGTCCAGAACAGAGAGAAGAAGCACAGTGTTTAGTAAGAGTTTATGAATGAGAATTAAGATGTGGTCTTGTCTCAGAGTCCTTAGTGGTAGCGCCGTGGATGTGGGCTTTCAACCGCATGCCCACTTCTGACATGACCATAAAGGGGGGCAACAGGCCGCAGGTTCCCGTATGCTCCTGAGCTGCGGGGCAGTTTGCAGCGGGAAGGATCTCCCGCTAAAGCATCCACCTGGCTCCAAGGGAAGGCCCATGGCTGGCAAAGGCAAACACTCGGTCAAGGGTAGGTTTTCCCTTGAGCTAATAGCTGCTGTAAAGCAGTGGTACGAGTGCTGCAGTTAGTTATAGAGCCTCTGTAAAGCAGAGAGCTCAATGTGGGACTTGACTGTCTCCTAGCCCGATGGGGCCATCTGCCGCGCCGAGCAGCAGAACTCTGAGGAAGTCTTTCATGTAGACATGCAAGGCCTGTGGCTCTGGGTGCTAATGGGCACGCTTGTCAGAAAGGTGTCATCAACCTACTTAGCGCTCTCCGGAGCACTTCCTTTTCAAAAGCAACGCTGACAACTGCTTATGAGCGCAATACAAGGGAAGAAGAGAAATTCATTTACCTGTTTATTATAGACCACCTCAAAGTGTAACAGTATGCCAGTACTAAGAAATACAGGGAAAAGAAGGTGCACAACCCGTTCACCCGTATTTTGTGCGCAGATTTCCCTTTTACTTCACGAACACTAACAATTTACATACAGCCTGACTGTTTGTTTCTTCAGTAATGTTTGTGTGTGGACATAATTCCTGTCTGACCTGGAAGATGAGTGAGGGAGGTGCTTACGATACAACTGCAATTGCTTCATTGGCCAGTATTTACATGGAGAGAGAAAGGACCAACTTCAACCTCCTCGTCTGTGCACGCGTGCTCGGACAGTCACAGCCACCGCTAACTGAAGGTTTCAGCAGCGAAGATGCAGCGCTGCAGGAAATGGTGGACTCTTCCCGGTCAGTATAAAACTCTTAAGAGTTTTCTCCTTGCATTAGAATTTGTTAGCAGCTTACTCAGATCTTCACTTGAGCTGAACAGGTCAAATGAGCCCTTAGACAGCAATTAGTCTCTTGAGAGGGCCCCTGGATTTGGCAATGGTGAATGGTAAGCGGGCATATTGTGAGCAGGTTGAACTGCGTAAGTGACTTTAGCACAAAGTTCTTGCTGCGGCAGTAGAATTAATACTGTCCTGACTCTGCCTGAAAGGTGAGCGGACTGGTAGAGCTGCTTTTAACATATGCTTGTTATGCTTGTGATTAGGTTCACTCTAGGGTGATGGTTTCTAGCTGTTAAGTATAACATAGTTTGGGCTGAAGTAATGTTTAGCTACCGAAAAAATGTAAGGGAGTAACACTCTGCACGCACTGCTGTGGCAACACCTCCTAGGAAGCAGCAGGCAAAACAAGTCTGCTCGGGCTGCCCAGTATGCCAGCTTGCAGTGGGAAAATTTATTTTGGCCGCCGCTCTTATTTTGGAGCAAACTGTTATCAAGAAGGCCTGATCTGGGCAGTTGCAATATCCATGGTTCAGAGCAAGAGCAGCTCCCCGGTTTGTTCTGTGTAAACCTCGATACATTACACTTCTAGAAGCCTTGTAGACGCAGGTAGAGCAAGAGTATCTGAAAGCCCAGTGCAAAGCAAAGCAAAAGGTTGCGTTCTTTCTCTGCTCACAAAAAGCAAACAGAAATGATGCAACTAGCTCTTCTCCTTCTGTGTTCTGCCTTACTCCGGGATAATGGCACTCTGCTCTCAGAACCCGCGAGATGTGTTTGACGTGCTGCAAAAGAAAAGTTAGACCTTCACCTCACAAGGATAGGTGGTGCAATTTCTCTGTGCTCTGTCACAAGACTGAAGATATCAGGCAGGTTCATATAGTATTCTTGCTTGAGAGAAAACACCCGCATGCTCAGGCATTTGCTTTGGAAAGTCAACTCATGGGAGCTATTGACAGCAGTAAAAGAGCAAAGGGATCAGGACGAGACGTGGCTGATGCCAGGAGAGGCATCTGTGGCAGCCAAATCTTCCAGGTTGGCAGCAGGGTCTCCTGGCACAAGCAGCGTTGGGAAGATCCCTGTGCCACACGTGGGGGCTGTGGCAGTAGGACTGGGCAGGGCACACTGTGCATCAGGAGGAGCAGTTTTCCAGACAGAGTCTGTCCCACACCGTGTTCCTGTAAGGCCCATATTATTGGAATTAGTTCTATGTCCCCTTCCGGTTCTACTTGCATCCCTCCTTCCAGCCGCCTGTGGTAAGTGAGCCACGCTGCTTCCTTCATGCACCTCTCTAGTGACCACAGCAGATGATGGGGACACCCGCCTGGCTTTGTCCTCAGTCCTCACTCATGGCCACAACTCCACCTTTACCCAGCTCCTCCTTTGTGCTGCTCCCTCATCGTGCAGTCCCGAGCCGGTCTCTGTGCACAGGACTCCCACAGTCCACTCTTGGAGAGAGAGGTGACAGGATCAGGTTCGACCTGCCTGGGTTCATCCAGCCCTACTACAGTGATCATCATCAGACAGAGACAGTGTTTGCCAAGAGCTGTTAGGTAGATGTGTCTCTGCGCTTGTACCAGATGAACCAGAGAGGGTGTCTGGCAGAAGTTCGTTGTTAAGTGACTATCAGTCCTCAGTTTCCTGGGGAGCAAGGAAAGTGGTTGTGAAAGCTAGAGCTGAGATCACAGCACGTGTGCCCCCGGGAAGGCTATTTCCAGCCCCCACCTAGCCTTTCTCGGCTAGAAAGTGGAGATAGAAGTGGTATTTTCAGACTCGATCCCACTGCCCTTCCTCGTGACCTCCAGAATCTCTTGCAGGGTCTCCTGGCTTATGCAGCCGAGCTCCTGCAGGATGCGGAAGAAGTCGTTGCGGAACTTGACTCCGATGAAGGCGTAGAGGATGGGGTTGAGGCAGCAGTGTGTGAAGCCAATGGCCTCTGTCACCATGATGGCCGTGTCCAGCTGATCCTCCAGGAGGCAGTCTTTGCTGAAGGCCTCCAGCTTGGTGAGTGTGTTCAGGAAGATGACGATGTGGTACGGGCTCCAGCAGAGCAGGAACACGCCTGTCACCAGGATGGCTACTCTGACGGCTTTTTGCCTCTGCAGGCGCTGCGACTGACACAGCGCTCTCACAATGGCCATGTAGCAGTAGCCCATGACCAGCAGGGGCACAAAGAAGCCCACTGTGTGGTACAGAAAGCGGGTCGCTAGCCACACATTGTTGCCGTGAATCCCAACCTCTGGAAAGTAGCAAATGCTGCGGTTGCTCTCGTCCGTCCAGACTTCCATGAAGATGAGATCGGGTAAGGTCAGGAGCAGAGAGCAGAGCCAAACGCCCACGCAGGTGAGGTGGATGGAGCGAGCTCTGCGCTTCCGGTAGGTGTGGATTGCATACACGATGGCCAGGTAGCGGTCCACCCCGATGCAGCCCAGCAGCATGCTACTGCAGTAGAAGTTGATCTTGTGGACGGCACTAAGGATTTTGCAGAGGAAAGTCCCGAACACCCACCCGGCCAAGCTCTCCACGACGCTGAAGGGGAAGGTAAGCAGCAGGACCAGGTTGGCCAGGGTGAGGTGGAAGAGGAAGTTTTCAGTGGTAGTGCGAGACCGCTTGAATCTCTCTAGTATGATGAGGACCAGGGCATTGCCCATGGTGCCCAGCACGAACATCAGCAGATAGATGAGGGGCATGAAGATCTTTCTGAAGGGGTCGCTCTGGTTGCCAACCACAGAGGAGGCCGGGTTGAAGCAGAAGTAGCCGTCCAAAGAAGGGGTGCTGTTTTCGGCTTCATAGTAACCGCTCAGCTCCACCTGGCTCTGGGGAAGAGAGAGAGTCCCGTTACGGAGGGAGGGGAGAAGGGCTCCGGTGCACGAGCGCACCCAACAGGACCGGCGGGCCCGGAGCCGGCAGGCCGGGAGCCAGCATCCCCTGATCCCGCAGCACCACAGGCAGCCCTCGCCTGCTGGCAGGGGGAGCTGGCGACCGCCCTCGGTGCGATTACCTGGGATGCCCCTCCCATGCCCAAGCCCACCAAGGGCAGCAGCGTGTGGAGAGGGCTGTCCTGGTCGCTAAAATCGGGGCTGATTCTATCCCCCGTTGCTCGGTTTGTAATTCTTGGCTAATGTATTTTGGGATGTTCTGGCCGCCAGAGAGAATCCGCTCCTCTTCTTGGTTCTCGCTGAGCTAGTTCCTGCTGGCAGTTTTCTTGCCGCTCAGCTCAGCGCAGGGCTCCGCTGCGTTCAGCCTCCCTGCCTCTTGCAGGTGCTTGTGCCACAGGCTGCGTGTGCCGGACTCGGGCACCCTGGTCGCTTTCTGTCTCTGCCTACAGCTCTCCCTCTTTGCCCGTCTCCGCGCCCTGCGACGGCGTTCTGATAGGCCCAGTAGCACGAAGAGAAGCGCGCTGGGCTGCCCTCTGCATGCTGCCCCACTTAGTCCTTCGCTTTCGTGATCTCATGTGCCTCTGGCCACAGCTGCCACAGCTGCTCTGTTCAGAGCGGTAGCAACCACGGTTCTGCACCGGCTACAAACCGCCACAGTGGGAAGGGGCGCTCGGAAAGAGCCCCTTGGCCCATGAGGCCCAGCAGGACAGGGTGATATGGCCGTTACGGGTGCGGTTTGTGCTGGGCCCCGGCAGCGGCGTGTGCCCAAGGCAAGGTGCTGCGTGAGTCGTGCGTGTTCAAGAGCTGGCAGTCCCGGCGGCAGCGTGGTGATGGGCATGGCGGGGCCTGGCCTCGGGCACGTTGCAGCAGCCGGGGGCCAACACAGCAGCAGCAGAGCAGGGCGGGAGGCTCGCGGAGCTCAGAGCCTGCGGACAAAACGGGAAGGGCTCCCCGGGCAGCGGTGCTGCGAGCTCCCCCACCCACACCCTCTCGGGGGACCCGCGCTGAGACTCCAGCGTCAACCACAAAGGAAGTCTCTGCTCGCTGCTTTCATACCTTTCACTGCCAGCTGTAGCTGCCTGCACCTGCTGAACCTTCCCCCTTCAGCCAAAGTTCCCAGCTAAAAATATTAGCCCCACTTTAAACAATTCTGGAGCTTTTTTTTTTTTTTTTTGGTCACTTTCCCCGCCTCTCTCCCCCCAGCCACATGCTGCTAGGCCAGATGGTTGAATAGCCTCGAGCTCCACACTGTCCCTAGCTAGAAAAGGGTGGCTGCATTTCTGTCAGCCTTGTGCTGGCTGCCTTTTCACGTGCTTGTCTGCAGTAGAGAAGTGGCACTGCAGTCATCTCTAGTTGCATCTTTGTTTTGCTAAGAGCATTTATATGGCTTCACGGGGCGCCCAGGAATGTTCATAGGAAAAGAGTCTGCACAGTGGTGTTGAGTACGTTACAAATGCAGCTGGCTCCAGCAGCTGCAAGCGCGGGATGGCGGGAGGGCAGGACTCAAAAACACTTCCCCAGGCCTCTCTCTGCCTTTCACTACTGCCACAGACAGCACACTGAACCAGACAGGCTTCGAATTGCTCCCAGACACTGTGCGACACTGTGCGACTTGCCAGGGTCCCTTTCGCTGCTGGCTTTGTGCCTCTCGGTGCTCGTGCTGTGCTGCGCTACCACAGTTTTTCCTCCTGAAAGGGTAAAAGTTGGTGCTCTCGGAGGCCAGGAAATCTCCCCCTGCCCTCCCAGGTATCTCATGCACAATTGCATAGGCTTGTCTTCCTCTACAGTAACAAGAGGATGGTTGTCTTGGGGGAGCAACAGCCCTATGCACAAAGAATAGCTCTGCTTCCTGTTTATTTTGTGATTCTGAAGCCTGGGAATTATTGCTAAAGGAAAACAAACAAACAACAACAACAACAACAAAAAAAACTTTAGAAATTCCTTCCAATCTGTTCTCTCCCCATCTTGAAGCTATTTCCTATCTAGCAGCTCCCTAGATACCGTGTCAGGAGTTATCAGCGCACACAGAAATGTGGGGCTGTGTTGGGTAGGGCAAGATCCTTGAATGTGAAACACCGGAGATCCTGCAGACAGGTGATCTCAGGCTCCAGAGAGGAGACATCCTCAGTGTGGCAGGGGCTCCTCTTTCAAAGTGTCCTTGGCCATGCGCAAGGACAGCTGCTGTTCTATACTTCCAGTGTTGCGGATAGTCAGCCCAGGACCAAGTGCTTCTGAGGCTCCCCTCCCCACCACACAACACCTCAAACCAAAATTCTTCGCATAGAGTTTCGCATAGAGGTCTGCTTGGGACTCAGGGGGAGCATGCTGGCAAACACTGAAGGGAACGTGTGCTTGAATGGGTAATTTAGTTGGAGAGAGGTTGGAAGGTTTGCGTTTTCAAGGGAAAAAGGCAAAGCTGCATAACGGCTGGGTCTGCTGTGTTGGTTGCTGGAACGAAGCCTAGTGTCGCATCAGGGACGTTTGTAGGCCATGGGCAGTGCAAGGAGTGCTAAGCCACCTCAGTTGTGCAGCTTTTCTCAACAGCACCTTTCTGTCAGAGCTGGCGATGCACGGGCTCTGTGCCGCTATCAGCCACCATCTGATCACTGATAAGACGGCAGGTAGGGCTTTTACTGTAAGCTACTCGCCTCGGGCAGGGGAAACATGCAGCGAGCCTTGTCTAAGGCGTCCTCTCATGTGCATCTCTGAGCAGCAAGTGTGGGTGGCAGCAGACAGAGACTAGGTAGAGACAAATAGGAGACTGTGAAAAGCAAGAGTGCAGGCTGAGATGAGAAGGGCAGGCGTCAGAGCGGCCGGAGATGCATGGAACGTGACAAGCCAAGGCTTTGGGAGCAATCCGCTGCAGTTCCCGTTTCTAGGGCTGGAAGCAGATGGCTGTGGCTGGTGCTTGCCACTTGCTGCATCTTTGGAGATCTGATTTCAGATGGGAAAAGGGAAATGTGTGCATGCAGACAGTCTTTGCACAGGTCTCCTGCAATGCACTAGCAGATGGAGACGTGAGGGGGAAGACAGAGCAGAGCCTTTCCCTGTAGCTGAGCGGCACAGGGATGCCAGGAGCCGTAGCAGCGGGACGTTCTGCCTTCCCTGCTCTTTGTCCAGGGATCCCATTCTTCCCTCTAAGGCCCATTTCAGAGTTATTTGGGTCTCTGAATGTCAGCTGCTTTTCTCGGTTCCCTGCAACTGCCAACGACCAAAGCAGCTGGCTGTAAAAGAGAAGCACCTTGTACACCATGAAGGATTTTCCATGGGAGTCGTTGCCTCTAGTCCCTGCCAGGGTCTAGAGAAGCATATTTCATTCCCAAGAATTGAATCTGAAATTACCCACAGCAGCACAGGATAATGCAAGAAGTTACTGACCCTTCCTGCTGCTCATGTCCCTGCTTGTTCGGTATAAAAGCATGTGTAACTGATGTATAAAAGCAAAGCTGGTTGAAAAGCCACAGCACTGAAGCGCAAGTGCCCTCCTGGCTCTTGAGTCACATTGGTCCTACTGTAACAAAAATTGACCTTCAGCACCTCATATGTGAAGAACTCGGTAGCCTTTCTGCAATTTGGTTTCCTTATGTTCAGCTGTGGAAGGCTTAACTGGCAAAGAAAGAAACTCTGTTTTCTACAGGGAAACGGAGTTATGATTTGTGGTATGTTAGGTTTCCACAGTGCTATATAGATGATCGTATATACCGTAAATACTCTGATTTCAGAGTAGGCCCCTGCTGCACTTGCTGGACAGTGCTGAGATAAGCACGTTTCCAGTGCAACCGTTGTGAGCATTTTCATTTTGCGTTTGGTCAGTTGGTCGACTGTCCCTGTCCTGTTGACACGCTGGGAGCTGTGCACAGAGAAGGTTTATACGGCAGGAAGGAGGCCTTTTCTGCACATCTCCCGGGGCGGGTGCCGATGCACCCACAAGGTGCAAGTAGGGCAGCGTGCAGCAGCGCCAGAGCAGATGTGGCACTGCTTGTGCGTGACCCACATAGCCGCTCCAGGGACAGGGAGGTGGGAAACGCATGTCGCAAACTCCCGTATGAGCTCTGAGAAAAGACGCTCTGAAAATGTGCTTAGTGCTGCACATGACGGCTCCCCCTGCCCCCAAATTAGCTGTATTTCTCCTTTCAGGAGGAGTCTCTCTTATAATTTGAAATGATTTTCAGTGGAGTTGAAGTTGCTAACCTGAGGTTCTGGGAAGCATTGCAAACGAGCAACAAATGCCAGTGCTGTTTCATTTGCCTGTGTTAAAACACTACTTCATTTTGGCACAAGCAGCTGCTGGTTTTTAGCCCGTGCTGGTTTTTAGCTGCAGACAGATGGACAGCACAGTTAATCTCAGCTGATTGTCTGTTAATACGATAAATTCCATTTGAAAGACTGGAGGAAATAATGAATCAACAAGGAGATGAAAAAGGGAGTTTGGTTTTAACCTGTGCCCAAACATTAGTGCTGGCACTGAGATTCAGCGGAGGTCAGGGAGAAGTGTCTCCCTCACAGAAAACTTGTAGAGGAAACAGAAATTGTTCACGCAGGATTTTTGGACTAGGTGAGCCAGAAAAAAAAAGTGATGGTTTTAGGGACTTTTTTCCTACCATCTTCTCTCTTTTCTCTTATGTGTTGAGAAGAGGAATGGACAGAAAACATGGGGGGAAAAAATAGGTCTAGCTTTTTTTATTTTAACAGAAACTAAACAAAATCTGAGGTTTTCTGCAGAGAGACAGTATATTAAAATATAAGCTCTGAGTTCGATATTTGAAAGCCTAGCTAATGATAGCACTGCTGTGGACTTCCCCTTGGACAGCATGACATATTCTAAAGGATACAGCTGTGGACTTCCACATGTAAACTTTGAGGACAGAACTACAGGACAGATTGTCATCAGTCCCAACTAGAAATATTTTCAATGCATCTTCCCCTCTTTAAAGTTCCTCTCTTATAAACGCACTAGGTTTTCCTCTTTCCCGCAGGGTCTAAGGCAGCCTAGAGTTAGTAAGCAGGCAGGAGGAGCGTATCTCATAGTGCAGGGTCTTCACACGCAGAGAGAGATCACTGTGGCTTCCCTTGTTATTCCTGCTATTTAAAGATACAACGTGAGAGTCCCAGGGCTTTGTGCTGCGCCCAGTCATTTATGCCACTGAAAACTGGTAGAAAACGCTACTGACTCAGAATTTGTGTGTTTTACGCCCACATCATGGTGATGTGCATGACTGTGCAAAGAGCACGGCGGCCCAGAACAGCAACTTTCCTTCATAGGATCTGCAGCAAGAGCTCTCGGAGGAGCTCACAGCATAGGACAGAGTCTGGCTCTGCCTGTGACACCTCTGCCCGCCCGACGCCGGCTGCCCCCTTGGTCCCCAGGTGACCAAAAAGACTCGCGAAGGCGCTTTAAGCCTATGGGCCCACCAATTATGCAGCTTCCCACAGGGGAACATCTTGTGTCCATACAAGCTACCCAACATTACGCCGAGTCACCCCAGGCACTGCACTGCTGCTTGCAGTCGCCTCATGGTCCAGCCCGGATTTAAGGGACGTGAGGTCCAATCGCGTCAATGCGACGGCTCAAGCTCCGTCTCGTCTAAAAGGACAGGGCAGAGGATGGGGACATGGAAAGTCAGGTCTCTGAGCCCACCCAGTGCTACCTGCTCTCCCAGCTATCTGCTCCGAGGAGCAAAACCAGGTCACACTCACCAAGTCATAGGTCTCAGAGGAGTAGCTGACAGGCCCCATGATTTGAGGGGCAGGATCTCTCTCCTCCAGCAGTTTCAGCAAAAGTTCTTCTTTTTTTTGGGGTGGAGTTAGTTATTTAAGTGAGTGGGGAGGGACCCAGCATGTAACTATAGAGTATTTGCAAGGCAAATGAGCAGCAAGCATAGAGTGACCTATTTGATGTGAAGATTAGTATCTCACTTGGCCACCTTGGCCTTAGAGTGTTGTAAGTTGATTTTTCAGGACAAGTTCAAGGACTCCATGGTTCAGGCCAAGTTCAAGGACTCCCGTTCCACGGGAATAGAGTGATGTCAGAGAGCAGAGGCTTGTCTGCCGTTATAGCAGAAACAGATGATCTGCTGCGTGATATAAAGAAAAGCCCATCATTTTGCCTGTAATAACAATAACTTTTCTGCTCTGAGAAACAGGTGTTTTGTCCCAGGGCTCTTGCCACAGCGAGCTGGTGGCGTGCGAGGCTCAGCTGAGGCGGGCCGCACAGAGTGACAGCACAGCCTGGGCTTCTCTTGGCAGGGGTCTCTATCTTTGTGGATAGCAGAGCGGTTTGACATGCTCTGTGTCTGCCCTGCTCCTGTCAGACAGCAGCTGCACCGGAGCCGCTGGACCATAAAGGAGTCTGTTGGGACTCAGATCAGTGCAGGGATGGAGCTGCTCTGTGAGCGTTGTGTCACTTCATTTGTTCTTGATGGCTCTTAGCGGGAACCGGTGCCCCCGACCTGGAGGAGAACTGCCTTAAGGCAGCCACAAGCGGAGACACGGCTGTCCCGAGGATGGTTTCCCAGGGCGAGGAAATTCCTTGTGCCCCTGCCCGTGCTTTTGAGGTGGCTCTCGGGCACCCTTTCCTGCCCTGGCAGCAGGGAGCTCGCGCTGCGCCTCGCATGTGCTGCTTTGTGGGTGCAGTGAAGACCGAGGGGCGCCCCGGCCGAGCCAGCCTTGCTCAGCGCGCCCCGTGTGTCCCCGTGCCAAGCTGCCCGTGCCCTGGGGCGCTGGCCAAAGCCTGGTGCCTCTGTGCGAGGGGGACAGGTTGAGAAGGATGTTTTCACACAGCTAGACACGGAGGGTGGAGCACTCTGCGTCAGAGCCTTCCTTGATGGGCTCGTGCAGACTGCGCTGGTTGCTCCCGGAGGGCCGTGCCCGCAGCGGGGCCCACCTGTGAGCACATCTGTCCATGTGGCAGGTGGTAGCCCTGCCTTGGCCCTTAGGCAAGTGGAGGGAATGAAAAGAGTTCAGGGAACCCAAAGCAAAGGGACAAACTGCAAACCCACAACACGCTGAGTAGACGACTACTGCCATGCAGATGCACGACAGGCCTAGAGGGTCTATGCACTGCTGTAATGTGAAATGCAGAAAATGTGATATTGAAGCAAAGATCATAGAAGGAAAATAAAGAATGAGAAAAGAAATTCAGAGTGAATATCATGTCACTTCAGAGGATGCCGGCAGGTGGATCACCTATTAGGGACAAAAATGTTACCAGAGTTCAAAGACAAATGTTTGGTGAACGCTTCAGTGTCTGAGCACAGGAAACGCCATCCGAGTTGTGCCTCCGCGCCACAGGTACGTGCTCTCACTGCAGGCGCTCCTGTATTGGCACCAACAAAAAACTGGTAACTTGTGTAACATATTCTGGTAGTACTGAAATATGCAGATTTATATAAGGACGAAAAATGTGCTACCTGCATGTAATTGCCATACTGCATATAGCTCACAAACACAGTTATTGCCAGCTTTGACATGCTAGTGACTTCCTGAGCTATGCTTGAGAAAGCCGGCTCACTCTTTTTGCTGCTGAATCTTCTCAGTTCTGATGTTTTCCAGTCATCCTATTTGCTGCTATCACAGCTAAGCTAACCATAACCATGTGCTACCCACAGACGTTACTCATATCTACTCATGTTGTCATTTATTCTTTCTCTTGAGGTTCCTGCATACTATTTCCTGTAAACCTCGCAGTGAAGGAAGACGCTTAGACCTACCATGAGTTAAAATGAAATGCTGGTCTCGCCACAGCTGGCTCCGAGAACCCAGCAGGCACTGGAGAAATCGGCACCAATCCTGCACCGCACGGACCACACAGTGCCTGATGCTGGGAATGCGCCTGCGGAGACATCCCTGGCTCCTACCAGCGCTGCGATCAGCGTGACAGGCAGCCCGCCGGTGCGGCAAGGCGGAGGTGAGCTCCCCTTTCTCGTGTTCCTAGCATTTGGAAGGCTCCAAAACAGCCAGTTCAGATTTCCATCTCCCTTGTGCTGTTGGAACAGGACGTGTAACAGGGCGGAGGGGTGGCTCAGGTGAGGCGCTGCGCCCGCCCCGTCCCGCTGCGGGACCCTCTGCGCCAGCCGCCAGGGGCCAGACGGGTGGTACCCGTCCGGCAGCTGTGGTGCCGTGGACGTGTCCCTGTTTTCTTGGGACGCTTGGGGAAGTTGGAACAAAGCTTTGCTGGGGAAAGACTGACATCATTTCAGAATTAACAGAATTCTAGCCTAGTATTTAGGATTAGATTAATACTTTGCTTCTATTCTTGAAAACCCTTGTTACTAGCAATAGAAATACTGGAATATCGTCATAGAACTATTGGAAGCAAATCTCAAGCATGTGTTACTAGGCGATTCTGTGGGTTAGCTCCTACCCTTAATATTGTGTTCACGTTAAGTTTGTTGTAACAACTACCTGAGAACGTGAGGTTGAGTTTCTAGCCTTTTTCTAAGGAAAAAGCCTTTGTGATCTGAGACGCAGTCTGCCGCTTACGCAAAGAATTCACCAGGGCTGGTGACCGAGTGAGTACTGTGCGTGTGCTGGTGAAACGCAACGCAAAGGCGGCACGGCCGGTGGGAAGGGGACAGGTGGAGGACACGGCCCCAGGCAACATGCAGGTCCCGGCCGCGCGCCGGGCCCTGAAATGGCGGCTCCCCTCGCGCGGCCCCCGCCGCCGTGGG